ACTTTGTTTTAGGATGTTTCCACACAAGGATTGAAAGAAGAAGGAAGCCATGCAAGGAGTGGTTGGGTGAAATGGGTCTTAGAGGCTGGAAACTTTGTTTTAGAATGTTTCCACACAAGGATTGAAAGAAGAAGGAAGCCATGCAAGGAGTGGTTGCGTGAAATGGGTTTTAGAGGCTGGAAACTTTGTTTTAGAATGTTTCCACACAAGGATTGAAAGAAGAAGGAAGCCATGCAAGGAGTGGTTGGGTGAAATGGGTTTTAGAGGCTGGAAACTTTGTTTTAGGATGTTTCTACACAAGGATTGAAAGAAGAAGGAAGCCATGCAAGGAGTGGTTGCGTGAAATGGGTTTTAGAGGCTGGAAACTTTGTTTTAGAATGTTTCCACACAAGGATTGAAAGAAGAAGGAAGCCATGCAAGGAGTGGTTGGGTGAAATGGGTTTTAGAGGCTGGACACTTGGTTGTAGAATGTTTCCACACAAGGATCAAAAGAAGAAGGAAGCCATGCAAGGAGTGGTTGGGTGAAATGGGTTTTAGAGGCTGGAAACTTTGTTTTAGAATGTTTCCACACAAGGATTGAAAGAAGAAGGAAGCCATGCAAGGAGTGGTTGGGTGAAATGGGTTTTAGAGGCTGACAACTTTGTTTTAGAATGTTTCCACACAAGGATTGAAAGAAGAAGGAAGCCATGCAAGGAGTGGTTGGGTGAAATGGGTTTTAGAGGCTGACAACTTTGTTTTAGGATGTTTCCACACAAGGATTGAAAGAAGAAGGAAGCCATGCAAGGAGTGGTTGGGTGAAATGGGTTTTAGAGGCTGGAAACTTTGTTTTAGAATGTTTCCACACAAGGATTGAAAGAAGAAGGAAGCCATGCAAGGAGTGGTTGGGTGAAATGGGTTTTAGAGGCTGGAAACTTTGTTGTAGAATGTTTCCACACAAGGATCGGAAGAAGAAGGAAGCCATGCAAGGAGTGGTTGGGTGAAATGGGTTTTAGAGGCTGGAAACTTTGTTTTAGATTGTTTCCACACAAGGATTGAAAGAAGAAGGAAGCCATGCAAGGAGTGGTTGGGTGAAATGGGTTTTAGAAGCTGGAAACTTTGTTTTAGATTGTTTCCACATAAGGATTGAAAGAAGAAGGAAGCCATGCAAGGAGTGGTTGGGTGAACTGGGTTTTAGAGGCTGGAAACTTTGTTTTAGGATGTTTCCACACAAGGATTGAAAGAAGAAGGAAGCCATGCAAGGAGTGGTTGGGTGAAATGGGTTTTAGAGGCTGGAAACTTTGTTTTAGGATGTTTCCACACAAGGATTGAAAGAAGAAGGAAGACATGCATAGTGTGAGATAGTATAAGTTTAAAAATTAGCCCTATTTCCCTGTTCCAGTTCCTGGAAAAGTTAAGGAAATGTGAGTGTCTGTTGAGGTTAGTGACATCACACATCCTTGTACAAACCAGTTGGCAGTGCTCCATAGAGAAAAAGCCGATATAAACTTCGGTCAACACTTGGAATTTCCAACAGAGAAATCAGGCAACCATAACAGAAAGAGTTTGAATTTAACCCTGTAGTTACTTTAATTCAAGGTGTATTTGTGAAAAAAAAACCCATTGCATTTCATACACATTACACCATGACAAAAGGACAAAGAATTCCAGAAAGAGACACTGACTGTTGTTAACAACCCAGCAGGCACATGACATTGTTTAAATGTTGAAATTTGCTTGATCTGAGGTTGCTTCGTTGAAAAAGATTGTATCAACATTGTTTAAACATTGGCCTTTCGATATTTGAAGAAATGTTGAAATGTGACCTTGTTTCCAACATTAACCTTTCGATATTTGAAAATATGTTGAAATCAGACATTGTTTTCATCATTGATTCAAAATTGGCCTTTCGGTACTGGAAAAATGCTTAAAACTGATACTGTTTCAACACTGAAAAGTAATCTAAAATTCAACATTTCACAAATACAGAAATTCAGTGATTTTTTAAGAAATATATATTGTTGTCAGTTGGAATCTATATTTATAGACTCTAGGCCAAACAATATTGATTTAAACATTTACGTCATATTTTAAACATAAACACATTTGATTTAACAATTCTAATTAAAATATATATATTAAATACCATTCTTAACAACAGGAATTAACATTGACATAAAATAATGTATTTTTACAAAAACATCTTACATTTCCCCTGAACATTGCCCATTGTGACCTCAAATAATCCCATCATGGCAATATATTTTCCAAAGTGTTGTCTGGAATGGAAGTCAGTTTGAATCTTGTGTCACATTGCTCATGAAGGCTGCTATTTGACTGGCTAATGTAGACCTACTGTTAATCATTTCATTGGTTGGTCAAAGTTCACAAAAGGTTGTTCTGAAATGACCTGTCATGGGATGTCTTGAGATCTTTGTTTAGCGGTAGCAAGAACTATAAAGGTCTGATTTTAATGTGATTGATCAGTGTACAACATGTAATATATAATTTAATAACAAAACTGTATCTTTATAAATGAAAGATGTTTGTGACCTTGAATGGATGTCAACCAAATAATACTCAAATGGAGGCCCAATGCAATAAGAGTTTGTGTGAAGTTTGATCAAAATCTAGGAAAGTGTTAGCAACTTATCACAAAAACCTAGTCGCCCCTTCACCGCCAAACTCACTACATACCACCACACATTTCCTGTGAGGTACGTACCATTACCTTCAGTTTGGTGAAATACATGTCTACTACAACCTCATACCTGATTAAAGAACCTTGTCCCATGCTAACATAACAAGGAACCCAAATGCATTTCTAGTTAAAGCCATCACATCAAGCCTAATGACATCAATTCTGGTTAGGAATGCACATGCCCTATGCTGTACAATTTTGAACCAGAAAGTCTTATTCCTCTTGTTACATTGATAAGAAAGTTCTACCCACCTCATATATCATATGTAGTGCAACAATAAACTAGAAGGTCCCATGCCCCTAATTCGATGTCCTTAAACTTGAAATTCAGTCAATCACATGCTTTATTATTTCTAGTTACCGGTAAACAAGGGTACTAGATCTTAAAAACTTTTACACTTCAAAGCTACACCCTAAAAATGAACCAAATAATTCATCCTATTTATATAAATATAAATTTGACCTTTAATATCAGTGGCAAGTAATTCAAGAACGTTTGCAAGCACTATGACGCATATTACTGAACTATGATGTCCTTGGGAAGTTCGATGTATAAAATGCTACTCATTGAAATTAGGTCACATGGACCTTCCACTCATATCCTGAGACTGACATCATTTGTCAACCACAGGTATTCAATAATATATAACCTCTACATGCATAAGACTTTAAGAAAATAGTCCCATGGCAACTGGAAATGTAGTCAACAGTTTAGCTTCCTCAGTCTAGCAACTTTGGAGAAAGAGATCTTTACAGAGCCAAAAATGACTTTAGTGCATTAAAGAGCATTACACTACATTTTTAGCAGAAATGGCTGCACTGCGGGCATAAATATGTTTTTCAATATAGCTGTTGTGGTGGCCATATTCAAAATAGGATTTGAACACCTAAAACAATTTCAGGCATCAGCATTGGTGGGAACAATCATGTCAAGTTTCTACTTCAATTGGTCAAGTGGTTTCTGAGGAAATTAATTTGTAGAGCATGGTCAAATTTATAGATAATATCACCAAAGACAGAACATATGTGTTGACCCCTCTTTCGAACTACGCATATACCAAATTTCATTACACTTCGAACAAAAAAAAAGCTGAGCAATGGGCATTAAAAGTTTCAGCTTTCAGTATGGTCAAAGTACAAAGGTGGAATCAAGGTCAAACGAATACTGTTATCTTGAATGTGCCAATATACATGTATATCGAACTTAATCTCCAGTCCCAATCGCCTCAGTATATAAATGTATATGAATTTGCCCCACTATCTTAAACCAGAGATAAGAAGACATTGCGCTATCTCAGACTCAGTCCCAACTGGGACTTTACTATAGAATTTTGTACCTTTATATCGAAGTTGGCATTTGCCAGATTAACAGATTTGAGAAGTGCGAATTTGCATCTCTGAGATGAGCCTGAGATGAGGGAGACACTCAAGACTAAATTAAAATGAACTTTGGACGTGGCATTATCACACTTTTGCAATAAGTCAGATGTGTCAAAAAAGTTACACATACACTTTTTGTGAATCCTAAATGTACATTTAATGACATTGTACACGATTTGTCACAACTGTCATTGATGATTGCCTGCGAAATACACTTCTATTTGTCATCGCACACACGTGTTATTTTCTTATTGTCCCATGAGTGCATTCGTATTGCTATTGATCTTATTTGATCAGTCTGGATTTCCATGCCTTGCTATCTTGAATGTCTGGATATCTCAAAGTTATAACATGGTCCCACTAGGTTCAAGATAACAGGTTTTGACTGTATACCTTGAGCCCCATCACCAGCTACACACATAAAAAAATTCATTTCATTTGGAGTGTAAACAACTGAGTAATGGCAATAAATAGATTTTCCAACATTGCAGTTGTGGAGGGGAACAAGGACATGGGAGTTTCAGCTTCTTTGGTCCAGTGATTTCTAAGGAGATTTCTGAGGACATAATATGTTGCGGGGGATAAAAATGAAGTGCAGGGACAGTCAAACTCATCCTATTGACATGGGTCTGCTTTAATACTTAAGTTGTCTGGGTCAAAAAGCCTTCTAGGTGCTCAATTCTAAACAGCAATTTGCTTTGACCTTCAATGTTGGCGAATAATATGAAAACATACATTTCTAGTCACAGACAAACATGAAATCTCTGTATATGCACTGTTGATACTTTCTGAATCAAAGAATAAACGCAATGAACACATCTTTGACAGTGACACTGGCAACCTCCATATATGATAGCTATTGATGAAGGTGTTTATAGTCACTTTATTCCCTGATAAAATGTTTTTCTCATGAATTGTACAAATAATTATACATAATACTTACACAGTCCATTCATCACTCAATTTCAGTCTGTTTTTGGCATCTGTAATGTCTTTTAGACCCCACCACAAATCATTGTTGTGTTCTATTGAATATTTTCTCACAAGTTTTGAATCTTCTCTCAGAAAATGCAACAAAGAAACAAAATACAGCCATGATGAATCTGCCAAAGACTTGCTATATGTATATACAGCATATGTAGGACACTGAATACTCCTCACTGAGCTGTTTTCTCCAATCAATTTAAGAACGGTTGCAGCAAGTATCCTATAAAAAGAAAATAGACATTAGTATTGAAGCTCACAACTGCTTATCTGAATATTTCAATACTTATCTAGGTATGGCCATTTCCATGGAAATGTAAGAAATGTAGGACATCATTCCAATCATAAATACATAAATACTAAAGTTATTGTGTACACAAGATACTTTTTTTAGGCCTTGTTCATACCAAGTGACTTTGAACTTCAATGTCATCCAGTCAATGAAATCCTGGGGTATATAGGAGGTTTATCAGGTATGATATCTCTAACAACTGTGGTTGAGAAAATCAATTGCGGCGGCAACAGAGCTCAAATTTGAGCAAACATGTTAAGATTACATTGTCTAGACCTAGACTGAAAATGGTCACCATATCATGGAGCATGATTCCCATTTAAGAGGTGCTATGCTTCAGTTTGTTTAATATTTTCAGTTTAGGACCTGACATTGAAACAGACAGGTTCAGTGCTAAATGTTAGATTGTTGTACATCATAGAATCTTAGGCAATAATGTGCTACATGTGCTTCAGACAACAGACAAAGAAAACAGTGTGTGATTCAAATGAAATTTGTTGGCATTGCCAATTTATCAAATCATCCTGCTCCCTTTTTTGGACAACTGTATATCCGTTTCAAACTTAAGGAATTCATCATTTTACCCTGATATCACAGTGCTCACTTAAGCATAATTATTTCCAAAATACACTACAATACTATGAAAACTATTCTGGAAAGCTCTATCTAATTTTCATAACCACCGGTTATCAATATTTTCAGTGTTTTAAACAAAATTATCTAATGCGGATGTTGTGTGCTTGATGTCCCCAGCTATCCCCCTTTAACCAGGAACTGACTAGTCCCAATTCTATTGTCCATATACATTTATGTCTGATGATTTTATTCAACCAATTCTAATTGAGTGGAGACATAGTGTAACATTTATAGTCTCTAAAATAAAAAAATTGGGGTGTCAAATTGACTTATTTTCAAAAAAGTATTCAACACTGGACAAACTTGCATGGGAATTTTGAATATTGTAGGGTCTGTATGAGCTAGAGACTGTTGAAGATCCTAGCTTCCTTGACAAATAAAGGCCAACATGACCTTATCACAGTTTGAAGACAAGCTGAGCTAAAAATTAACACAAGTCACCTAAAATACAAGTTGAATAAGTATGAATACATACTGAGAAAATCTCTTTGGGAAGTGTGTCTTCAAAGATTCCAAACTTTGTTTATCTGACCTCACCATCAGTGTGCTGAAAAAGGTTTTGTTCAAACCTTCAGATCTGATGGGAATGTTGTTTTCACTGTATGCACACAGAATAAACATTCCCAGGACAAGTGAAACATCATGTGTCTCTTTAATCTTCTGTAAATGGTGTATCAAGGATTCCATGATATTCTGGAACATCTTAAATGGAGAACAATAAAAATAAAAACGTATTATTGATTATGAGATATGTGTTTAAAATGTGATCACATGTTCCACAAAGTAGATATACCTTGTAGTAACAACAGAAAAAAAGGAAAATGTTTTGTCACTGATGAAAGCATGTTCTAATATTCACAAAAAAATCAATATACGATTTGATCAATATACTATAAGATAAATCAATATCATATCAAATCAGTATTAGGCACACACTCAAGGTTCTGTAATCGTAAAAATTATAGCATTTTGCCACATGTACATGTAATCCTATTGTCATGCATTTGCATGTTTGTCATGACAGAAAATATATACACTTCTGAAAATCAAATTTGCTCAATCATCAATGAACAACAATTAATACAACAATTGCCTTAAAGTATTGTGAAGTGAAAATCAGTGTAGCAGGATACTGCATGGGTTGTGAGGAACTAACAAGTCAACATGTTACAAACAAGAAGATACAAATATCAAACATATCTATTTATGCATCAAACACATCTTCTGGGGAAGAAAGAATGATTTCTTATTTGCTGGGACAAATTTTAGTAATTTACTACAATTTTCAGGGCATGAGTATCAGAATTCAATAAATTGATACTTGTGATAACACATACTTCTAAATGATGGACACATTTTATTAGGGATAGAATAATGAGGATAGATCTTTTATTTCAAACTATGACATGTATGTATATTTCAATTGAGGATATGAAAGGAACAATTATGGTAGTCTCTTCTTTCTGTATGTTATTTCTTCATTTATTTGTATGAACGAATGTATAATAATTATATATCCCTGGTAAGGCCTGTCAAAGGATGTCAATGTGCTGCAGACATATCTCCCAAATTAATTACTACATAGACGACATGTTGACGTCTATGGCAGTATGAAAACTATAACATCTGAATGCTGCAATAGTTAAGGACTTTTCCATTGACTCGGAAAAGCATGCAGCTCTTTGCTCTGAAGCGGGTATAAGGGATTTATTCTACCTCTCAGAAATCCACTTGCAGCCTGTCTTGCTCGTGGCAGGGTATGAGAGATTTATTCCCACGCTGAGAAAATAATTCCTATCAAAGATGGGATACACAGTATTTTATCAAGATCACATGGACCAATCAGATCTCATCATTCTGACATGAAGGAATGAAAACGGTTTTTTTAGTGTTAACCCATAACATTCCATCATGTCAAGTCACATTTTTGTTGCAGACTGAACAAATGTTGATATTCTAAACTAACAATCACTACAATCATGTGCTAGTTTCGGGTATTCAGTTGTAAACAGCTCCTTCTCCACATGTCACAAGTTGTCACAGCTCACATTGAGTCAGGAACATACAAGGAAGTAGCAGGTTGGACCGTTGCTATTTTCATTTTAAAAATTATGGTTTCAAAACAAATTCTGGTATTTTTAAGCATCCTCATTTACATGGGTCTGTATAATCTGTTCTATAACAGGAATCAGAAGTTCTAATTAAAATAGTTAAATACTATTTTCTGACTGCATTTCATTCTCAGTGTTTTTACCATACTTTCTTGTGTATAAAATACAATTGGCTTTTAATCATTTTTTTACAGCTGTGTAGAGATGACATTCATATCATACAAATCAGTTCTCATATTTTTCCAAATCCTTAAGCAAAACAAAGTGAATTTTGACTGCACATTATCCACATTATTTTCTGTGCCCCAGCATGAAGATACATATACATTTTTACCATTATATTATATATAAGTGCATATTTAACACGAACAAGAGTCATCAGGAGATGGCATATCCCCCGATCTGGTGCAATTCGCAAATTGAATTTGGCTACTTATATCCCACTTTTGATTCATTTTCATTGTGTAACTTCAGTTCAGTGAAAAAAAACAAGAATGCTGTTCAGTAATTTTCAATAACCCAAATCATCCAAAGGCACCAGTTCATCACTAGACTGATCTGTATAGCAAGTTTCAACAAGAAATATTCAATGGTTTAGGAGTTCTGCTCTAGAAATAGAAAACAGATGGAGGACCGACAGACATGCTGATAACTATATACATGTACCCCCATTTTTTTCAAAAATATGGTATAGCAACTAAATTCTTAATATAAATGTTAAGATTAAATTTGAATCTTTTTGTAGGGATGCTTATCCTCCCCAAGTATCAACTCAGTGTACTTAATGATATAAAATTATTTTTTTTAAAAACACGTGTCATTATAATGCTATGAAGAAATGGGAGACATTATGGTGCTAAACATACACCTGGGACAGACAACAGACACCATGCCATTCCCGTTGCCTGGAAACCTTCTGCCCTCATGATGATTTAAGTTATTGCTAAGAAGATTATTTCAGTCCATTAATAATATCTTAAATAAAACTGTAAATGTGACAGACCTACCTGCATGGGTAGACCTCTGTCTAATAGCCGCATGTCCTTGTCTACCATTTGAATGGATAGTCCTGATAACACCATGCTGATCCTATCTAAGTATGTTTCAACAAAACTGGACTCTCCTGGCTTCTTCTGTCTCAATTGTGATATAATTTCTCCAGCTGAAGGCAGAAATAACTCTCCTGCTTGGACAACATCTTGACGTATTCTGTCTTGTAAACCGCCACCAATTGCTTTTGACAACCAGCGCTTCCAGAAAACTTCTGACATTTTTGGATATACAAATCCATCATACTGATGCCATGGTGCTATAAAGAAGAAACAACTATGAAAGTTATTTGTATTTGCTTGTTTCTAGGATCAGATACAGATGTCTATGTGAAGAGTTCTTCAGTCAAATTAATTTCCTGTACAAGGGATCAGGGCCCTTTACTTGATCCTGAATACCAGGGACACAGAAGCTTCTGTTTTGTTTGTTTGTTGTTTAACGCTCCACTCACCAATCTTCCAGCTATATGACGACTATCCTAGTGACAAAATGGCATTGTATAGTGTCATGATTTTAGGAACATTTCATGGGACATTCTTTGTGAGAACACTTTGGATGACAACTAGAAAAGTGATAGTAAGTACTTGAAATAACATAAGCAGTGTCCTCACTACTTTTTCTAGGAGTCCCAAGAAATTAAATACATACCACAAAGCATTTCCAGAGTCAACTTACTTGATCACTTTAGATATTAAATAGCATTAATTTATGTCAGGGATAAAGATATGCTGAGGGACCAGTCATTTAGGGAAGGATGTGTCGTGTATTGGCAAATTTATTGATCGGTCGTCGATTCAGGAGTTATGCCCCCTGTAATGATTTTAATCCATCCCATATTTAGCTCATCACATGACAAATAGCAAGGAGCCTCATTTTGGTTATAAGAACATGGTGCCCAACATGTATGAATACTATGATGCACGTGGTATCATTAAATATTAAAATTACTTCGATTCTGTAGTTATCAATCATGAAACATGAATTGTGAGACAAACAACTAACATTACACTGCCTGCCTACAATAATGGGATGTGGGGGATTAGCATGTGGGCATGACCACTAAATAAATGTCAAGCCATGCAATTTTTTCAAGAATAAAGTTGGTTGAATGGAGACAACGGCCTGGTTATATGACATGGTGTCAGAAGTGGACTGTCAACAATAAGTATTTCACCCAACAGAGTATTTTTATTTCACAAAGCTGGCAGAATGGCCTGAAAGCCGACAGTGGTTTTCACAATTTCATATCGCCACTAAACTCAACAAAGAGTCCTAGGATGAACAGACCTCATCATGAGTATATACCATGGATAAGGAAGCAGACACAGTTCTGACCTTTTTACATGGGAAGCTGATGAGAACCAGACTTAACCAGATGATAATCTTGTCAAAAAGTTTGATGCACATTCCATTCAAAGCGGAATATCAATCACGAACATTTCAAATTCTTGCAGAAACAGTGTGAATCTGTGGAGTATTTTATTAGAAAGCTATATAAACTAGTTATTGTCATTCTCGATAAGGAAGAAAATGCAGCTTAAACCTAAACTGACACTTGAAGATGCAAAACAAACGACTAGACAGCTTGAATTGATCGAATCATAGATTAAGGACCAGAAAACCAGTGGGAAAGATTTTGAGGACCTAAGACGTTGCTCTAAGCCAACAATATTGGCCACTCATGGAAGGAATAATTTGGATTTCCACAGCAATCCTGGATTTGGTGGCAAGAGTGGTTACCTTTGTAACGGCTATTCATAGATCATAAAGATGCAACCTACCAATGGGAAACACTGGTAGCAGATGTCGATTTGTCAGGGGGAAATTGCAATAAGAATAAGAAAATAGGACATTTGAGACCACTTGCAATAGTAAGTTTGTATATGAGGTTGGCACTGTCCCAGAGCAAGCACAGACTGATACTTATTTGTTCCTTGGAGCTGAGGACTGATGATTCAGAGGAACCATGGTAGGTAAAAGTAAAGATTCAAGACATCCCTGTTGTTCTGAAGATTGACACTGGCGCCGATATGAAAGTGATCGATGAGTAAACGTACAAAGAACTGAACATTGTTCCAAAGTTGGAAAAAGCAACATCAAAGTTGAGTGTTATTGGGGTGAAAGTCCAATTCTTTGGCGAGTTCAGTTCACTTACAACATACAGAGGGGACACTAACAGGTTTCCTGTTGCTGTCATCAGAGGACATACCACACATAAATCCGTTACAGAAGTCATTAAGCCAATCAGAGAATTTCAAATTTGTAGAGAATCAAGTCCAGTCTGCGACCATCTTGCAGGGAATTCACTCATTTAGCTGTAGTTTGTTGTGCAACATCCAGCTATTTATCTCTGTGCAGCACATACTGGTATTTATGTCTGCATGAGAAAGTTTTGGCTCACAGATATTCATGGGCTGCATGTCGTCTTCGTAGGGGTGGCACTGTAGGTTGGGCTGATCAATAACTTGATAACAATATGTGAAAATATACGCAGTTGGTGCACAAAGAAGCAGAACTTTTCAGTCAAGACAACTGTGCAAATGCAATATAGTAGAGTAGGTCTAAAACTATTTAAGGGCAATATCGTTAGACTTGTTTGATGCTGAGGTACACTGGTTGAAAGAAGGCTAGTGGATTTTCTTAGTTTGGGTACAAAATAGGTTTTGCTGTGCCAGATAGGAAAGGTTGCTTCAAACCACCTGGAGCCATGTTACACACATGACACAGTCATTTGTCACAAGTTGCATAAGAATGCTCAAACAATGCTCAACCAGTGTGCAAATAGTGGAGCACCAATGTCACATGCATGTACAATGTGTTCGCAACGCATGTAACAGGAAAGAACTTCTGGGTAGTAGTGTATGCCCAATGCAATGCCACTTCGAAACAGATGGTGCTATGCCTCTAGCTACCTTTATAACAAACAAAACGTCCTGTAGCCAATGGCTTCTATTGTCTTTTGCTAATCACCCATCAGCGGCAATTATCTGTTGGCCTCCCTTGTTACTTTCCACCGTTTGTTATCTTATTACTTTTGCCCATTACTTTTGTTGTCCTCACATGTACATATATATGCTCTCTGCCTCATAGCATTCATTCACCTGATGAAGGAGTAAGCATATACTCCGAAACGTTGTGTTTCGTCATAATAAAGATGTTGACATCCATAAAATCTCTTCCTTAATTTAGTTGTTGTTGACAGTCTCTGTGCTATTGATAAATTGCATGAAGTCAGAGGACAACCCCATTCTATGATGCATTCAACATTAACCTGTTGATTCACCGGGAATGAGCCTGCTGGCACAACATGATTACCAATGGAACCACCCTGAAGTATGGCTGAATACCGCTGAAGACAAGTCAACAGAGGCTGATATGAGGGATTCTTCATTTTTTTACCTGTCAGTTTCATGATTTCATGACATTTGACGCCAGTATGTGAAAGAAGTGTGACTATTGTGGCCCTGACATAGTATTCATTAAAATTTTGCTTAATTGTGTGTCTTCAGAAATTGATTTTACTGTGTTTGAAAACATGTTCTGACCAAGTGCTCGTCCAGTGTACTAGAGAAGGTCAGGAGTTTTGTTAGTAAGTTTTTGTAGTCTTTGGAAGAGAGTAGTGTTTTCCTAATGTTATTGAACACATAGAATTTAAATAAACCAACATGACATGAAGAAGTTCCAGTAGCATAAATGCTTGGTTTTGTGTTGATGTTTGTTTGTTATTTAATGCCGCACTCAGCAATATTCCAGCTATATGACGGCTGTCTGTAATAATTGTGCCTGGACCAAACAATCCCATGATTGACATCATGAGCATCAATCCACACAATTGGGATACGATGATATGCATCAACCAAATCAGCGAGACTGACAACCTGATCCCGTTAGTCTCCTCTTATGACAAGCATAGTCGCCCTTTACAACAAGAATTGGTTGCTGAAGACCTATTCTACCCCGGATCTTCACGGGTCCATTTTGGTTTGAATCATGTAGATCATCATGGATTATTTTTTCACCACCTCACTGTGTGTGACAAACTCACACCTAACATCATTGACTTTGAGACAGAAAGAATTGCGGGTGAGGTCACATTAACTTTCAACTGTTTGATTTAGTCACTGCATCCAACCCCATTTTAATTTTATTTTCTAAACATCCCCAGAAAGATATTGTTTGCACGAACAAACTCTTGGTCCTGCCACATGTTGAATGTATGATCAAATTTTGGATGAATGTCATGAATACAGTGTTTTTATACACTTTTCAAATTTTGATTTTATTAACTTGTATTATCATTTGTTTCAATTAGAAAATTATGGAACATATCCCTAAAAGTGTTGTCATCTCATCATCAATCCAGTCAGGGTCTAAGAAGTTATCATGGCCCAAAACATTCGCTAATGTTTCAATATTGAACATATAAAGTTCTTATGGATTATCAGAAATCATTTTCTTATGGATGGATAGGAAGGCTATGGATGTATCCATATGAACATTTTTTGTGTGAAAGGGCTTCATTTAGAGGTATCAAATGGAAATCTGATACCTCATTTTTACCATTTAGAATCAAGCATTCTTTAATTTCATAGTAGAAATGGATTAAATGATATCTAATCTCCAGCTTTTATTTGACTTATTTCTATAGAAATATTCCTATTTAATAACAGACATTTCAACAATGTTTTTATATTATTTTCATCATACACCTAACTTGGTTTCATTTACAAGGGTTACAATTTTACACAAATGACAGCAGTTCTGACATGGGTATTTTGTCTGGCAAATACTTCCATTCATAAAAAATGCACATTTACATTCTTTTGTAACAATGTAAACATCTCTAAAGGTTTCAGTGAAAACATTTAGTGTGTGATTTTTAGAAACATTGGTGGACAAAGGATAAATAATTAATAATTCAAGTTCAAAATCATAACAGTTTGCCTAAGTTGGCATGGCTGAGGCTTGATGAAATTATTGGTGCAAAGAAGCATGTGAACTCTCAGCTTCATCAGTCCAGTATTTTGAGATGTACAGAAAACATGAAGCGAATTGGAAGCCAGGGGTGCAGAACAAGATATAAGCTCACTTGACCCTCAGTTGAGTGAGCTATAAATGTTAATAGCTTGTTAAAGACAACAACTGAACACTGGCCAGTTCTAAAACTGTTGATAAAGTAGCAAAATAATATATCATTACCACAGCAAAATAATAAAACATTTACTTACACAGATCTTTTTTTTTCAGTGTTGGATAATTGAATGCACGATTTGGATCCATTTTTGCCAAGTGAAGTCTCTTCAGGTAGTGTACAGTTTCCCAATACTCAAAAGGTGAACCATCCTTTTTGGAACGTCCTTGTACAACATATTTGTAAATAAATCCCCCGTTCCGTTGACCTTTCGTCATAGGAATGCAACATGTATACTCGTTGATATCATCTTGGTGAGTTCTGGAAAGTCAAAGCATGCTTAAACTTCATTACTTCACCTATTATTTGTTATGAGAATATTAAAAAAAGAAAAAACTTCCATTTGAACTTGTATGGTGACAGGTAGCTACATTTTACCAGCTCCCTCAATCAGCCACAATCCTAACAAAATACAATGCCAGCAACACAAAAAATAACTCGAAAAAGCATCAGTAGGCAGAATGGAGAAAAACTTACAAAAAACGAATGAAAACACAATATATGTAGCAGAAAACGACAACACAGAAAACAAGGTACTGGGTATGCGAGAAAAAAATGACATGAAAACTTTCATTAAAGAAGCTTTAAGAATGCAAACATAAGAACTCATACTGAAAAAGGTAGAAATAAATGAGGAAATAGTGAAACTTCATGATGTGGCTGATAACTTAGTACAAATGTCAAGATGAACGCAGAGCATATCGCATGTAACAGAAACGAAATTGAAAATATTATACAGGAGTTCACTGATGTCAGAAAAGAAATGGAAAATAAACTACTTATAACAGAAATGTATTCCCGAAAACAAAACTTGCATGTCTATGCTAGTGAACAGCAAGATGTAGCATGTCAGAAACTTTTCTCGGACATGGGGTTTACTTCCGCCTTGGATGTTGTAAACATTCACCAGCTATCACACCACACTACAAATGGCCGTACAAAAAATTGTCCTAAACCTATAGTTGTGAAATTTGTACATATGGCAAACAGGCAGGATGTGTGGCAATTAAGCTAGTTACTCAAACTCGGCAATGTTGAGGGATAGAAAAGTAACGAGATTTCCCTGTTGTTCTGAAAAAGTACAGAGGCAGGTTGGTGGCAAAGGTGTACACTCTCCACACAAAATGTAAAGTGCAGACCAGAATCTTTGAGAACGGCATCAATGTGATCCTTGAGTAAAGAAAGAACATTAACTCTCCGTGGAAAGTCATTGGGATTGATGATAAATATCTGTCTGTGACATGAGCATGATATGTATGATCAGCTGAAACTCAGTTTCAGACTAAGTAGGTCACGACAAGATAGAGTGCATGGGCGGATACAGCTTTTTTGAAAAGGGGGGGTGCACAATTAAGATCTATTTATTGTCTTTGGTGGTAATTTATACAGAAATAGAGATTATTTTCGAAATAAAAAGGTGGGGTGCGCACTCCCCCTCTGTATCCGCCCATGGAGTGGGTCCTGCGCCCAAGATGTATCCGTTTTCATCTTTAATGAAGTTTGTTTATTCATTTGTTTTGTAAACATATGAACGCAATATTGGATCTTCTTTGGAACATGGTAAGATTGGATAAGATGTCCGTTTTTGCCAAGTGAAGTCTCTTCAAGTAGTGTACCATTTCACAATACTCAAAAGGTGAACCATCCATTTTGGAACGTCCTTGTACAACATATATGTACATAAATCCCCTGTTCCATTAACTTTTCGTCATAGGAATGCAACATGTATACTCGTTTATATTATCTTGGTGAGTTCTGGAAAATCAAAACATGCTTAAACTTCCCAGATCGGTGTCAAAGAGGGCTCTAATGAATTTCAGTTGATGAGAGCTAGTCTCTTATCCGAACATTTTTACCTTTATAGACATCATAAAGAAAGAACAATGAACCATGGAAATAACCATTTCCCAACTCCAGGCAGGTGGTGCCAAGTGACCCAGAAAGAGGAGGTACAGAGCCCTTGACGATCGACTAGCTGTGCTTAAAGCCAACCCTTTCAGTAACCACCCATTCTCACGAAGAATGTACAATTTCACATTTAACCTGTTGCTTAGCCGCTTGCCGTATATTTTGCATTGAATAAACGTGACAGAGAAGGTAAATGTTGGGAATGGTTTTGTATAATGTGATTGTTGCCTTTAATATCAATCATTATTTTTGGTTTTTCAGTATATCTGATATATCATGCACTATAGTGATAAATTTTACAGAGCTATCTTATTTAATAACAAATTTATGCTTGTTAAAAACGTGTCGCCAGTTTTCAGGTAATGTATGTTACTTGATTTCTGTTTTAAACAGCAACTATCATTTTGAGATGTAAAAACAAAATAATTGTTCATAAGACATCACGAATACACACTTTGGTGAGCCTAAGTGGTGGCTGGTAACAGGCATCTTGTAATATGTATGAGCACTTTATATCATGAAAATAGCACCATTTTTGAGAGTTGAGTTAAGCTTGTAAGCTACGTTACTGCCTATACATAAAAACTGGTCTCCTGATGATGGTACAGGGATTATGTTCATGTTGCCTAAGGGCTGTCTGCTTGTCAAAGTGGGAAACAAGGTTGTAAGTGTATTGCCCATGTGTTGAGGGTGTTTTATAGATCGTGATGTAAGCTACGTGATGTAAGCTATGTGACATCTTGAAATAAAAAGGGAGGAAAATTAAGTGTACAGATCATGCCAACACAAGAGAAGGCATCAGCAGGATAATTTCTATCAATAAGCAGTTGTTCCCCTTGTTTACCACTTGTTTCCAGTCAAAACAGGTTTTATTCCAGACAGGACAAAACATTGCACGTTTTTACAGAATTTCTGTATGAAAAAGATGAAAATATGTATATATTTTTCTTTTGGAAGATTTAATAGGTAGAATTTACATAAAATCAAGCATTTCTGAAATATAAATCACTTGCTTTTTTAAGGCTTTTAGTGTCATGGTGCATGGCAGTGATGATATGTTTGTTGCTTGAATAAACAATACTAATGTTTTGAAGGCCATTGACACCAAATTTCACATGATATAAAAGGAATCAATGGATTTGTTGATTAAGTTTTTTTCTCCAGATAAATAATTTCCCAATAGTGATTCAGTATATAAAGTTTTTAGAATGTTTGATGCTTGTTACTAGTGGTAATATAGCTTACATATTTTCTGTGAAAATCAGATTTTTGACGTGATCTGTGTAATTATGTGTTTGTTGGTGGACATTTACAAATCCTAGGTGGCAAATGTAATGATGACAGTTTACTTTGAAGAGTAAATACTTAGACTATCCTTGTTAGTCTTGCTGAAATCACAAGATCCATGAAGGTAACGTAGATTACAATTTATGTAACGTAGATTACTATAATCATTTCAACTGTTAGTGTTAGTTTAACTATCGAGGTACAAAATATTTGCTGAATGTATGAACAAATTATTTCATCCATGTCATTCAAACACCACGATGTAGTTTGATTTTATTGAATATTCTTAATTCAAGTTAAAAATCAGGAAGATTTTCCTTGATATTGTTAGATTTTGTTATTTTTAAAAGGTTTTCACTTTGAAACTTCAGTATTTTTCTTATGAAGACAGTAACAATTTGAAATGATTACATAATTGAGTCATTGTTACAAGTCTGGAAGCTCCATCGTAAATTTCTTTGTTTGAAAAATATTGCAAAAATGTGTTACTTTATTGTTTAGATTTTCTGACATGTTATTCTTTGTTGATGAAAATATAGATAGATACAATTATATATTGTCTTTGTTTTCCTGAATATTTAGGCATGTAGAAAGCATTAACAGGTTTTGTTGAAAAAAAACATCTAAAAATCACTTTTATGTTTAAAGGTCAGCTACATTATTGTTAAACAAGACTGGCATACTTTAATTGTAAACAATTAATTACATGAAGTTCTACTACAAAGACATAATGATAAACAGGACAACAGAATTGCAATAACTTAACATTTACATTATTTTATAGATATATGGTGGTCACGTGGATTACATCCCGCTTTATGGGTTAGTAGCATAAATAGTTCATAATTTTGTTATGGGTAAAGTTTGAGTGCCAAAATTTCATACACCTTTTTTTTAATGTTTGTTTTATGAATAAAACATCATTTCATTGTGAAAGCTTGGACTTTTATTTTTTCAAGTTTCCAAACTGCAATTGTACATTATTTGTGAGAATGGGTGAACAATTCTTTCCCTGAACAGTATGTTGATAAAGTAACTGACCTGGTTGGTGCAGGTAACTGATACAGTCATACAATTAATGTACAATGTACTATAATGATTGATATGTATGATTCCTTATTGATGCAATAATATAGCTATAATTTATGCAATAAAGCATACAATGCAATTTACCCATTTTGTTTCTATGTTAGATCTAAAGTGAACATACTAGGAAACAGACTATTTAATCCCCCATTGTTAAGGGATTATCACCCCCCACAACAATAGCGTCCAGCAAAATGAGAACCCGCCGTTGGGATGACCTTGCAGGACATACTGGTTCAGGTGATGGAGCCATCCATCTAGATGATCTTTGTCCAAGGCTCTCTTCACAATGCTAACTGGGAAACTCACATCATAATCAACCCAATTTGATCACAATGTAGTCACTTAATTGAGCAAATCCAGGTACCTCAGGAGTACTCTCTATAGTTTCAATCCAGATGCCTGGAATCAGAACTGCAGGAAGCAAGGCAAAAGCAGCTGCACATCTCACAAAGGAAGAGATCTTCTTTGCAGGCTGTTACCAGTTCAAGACAATGCACTTTTCTCCATACACATTGAGTGTAATGACAAAAATCACCCCTTTTTGTCAGTGGTGGGAAAATCATCTTTCATGGCCTGGTGAACTGGATATTCAGAGTCAATTTGAATTGTGTCAAGGTGTGCTCTACTCAAAGGGACTCATTAAGATTCAGAGTGACAAAACACTCTTCCCTTTGTGTCAAGCAATATTTCCAGCAGCCCTGGAACCTACAGAGTCATTGTCAGTTGACATGACTTGTCTATTTGAATATGGGTTATTTGGCATTTCATGCTGTTAATTTCTTGGAAATAAGAGATCAAATGACTGTCAAAAAAAACAAAGCCATGACTTTGCCAACTGTGGCCAAATGTTTCCACTGTTTGCAGTTATTTTACTCAGGATCAAATTGATGGATCCAAGTCTCTTCCTGGGTTACAAATTGCATCCAAAATTTATCAGGATTCTGCTGGTAACTGGTCGAAAAGGTCCCTCAATATGTTCAGTTGAGTCAGCTCCTGATCTGATGGCAACATTCTGGGCACCCATCTTGTGTCAGTTCAGAAGGACTTTACCGACCCAAAACTTATCCCAATAATGTCAGTGATATGCTGAATTGGAACACATCAGTCAGCCATAACCATGCATAATGCATCACCAAGCATGCTTTTTATATCTTTGTGTATTTACTTTGGTGATATGCCCTTTTAAAGCAGATACTTCAATACAGCCTGTTTCTCAGTTTTCTCAATTTTTGCATTTTCTCTCACACCTGTCAAATTGAAGTTGTCAGTCTGTAACTCAGTGTAATGAGTCTTCCAAGAGATGATATTCCTCATTACACAAAGAAATATCCATGAGGCCATGAACTATTTTTAATTTACCCTTGTATCTATGCAGTCAGGACAATGCCATATGCAAGGGCAAAACCAGCGATATCACTGCATTTAGCTGTGGCTTGAAACAAAAAGAAGACAAATTTGTCTTTCTGTGCTTAGGTTTTCTTCAATATGAAGCAAGTGTTTTATGCTTTCTTCTCATTATTATGCGTCTGAAGCTCCTTACCACTGGAAACCTTAATTATGAAAGTCACATCATACCTTACCTTGCATGTGTCATTTTCCATTTGTCACTTTGCCATCCTCCAAGAGGATCTGATCCAAATCTGATAGTAACAGTGTCAGCGTCAAGTTGCTTGTTCATTTCTCCAGATACAAGAACATGGAATACAACATCCACTTTGGGTTCACCCTGGCCTAACCTACAAAACAGAAATGATACAGCATTGAAAATACAAACAAAAAGCCAATCTTCAAGGGACATCATACTTGATCATCAATAAGTGAGGTCAATCTCTGAATTCAATCAATGTCAATGATGAGATACCAGTAATTACCTGTATGCTTCAGACCTTTGAAAAAAAACCTAACAATGGTTTATGAGGTTTTTTCTGCCACAATATTTAAATGTAGGGTTCTATGAAACATCAAGTTTATGACAAGACCCCCTTGACTTATATATTTATTTAATAAAAACGGGAACATATGATACAAATCAAAATAGGGAATTTCATCGGACATCATTTTCATCACTGATTTGTCAAATTTGGAAATGTCCTCCACGTTTCTATCATAAAACCTCTTGAAAGATTTACTATAAAATTGAATGTTGGAACCCTAATCAAACAACTTTTGAGCAAGAGTCGCACGATGCTCTTTGAAATCTTTAGTGAAAGAGCATGCTCGATTGTACTCAAAAGTTGTGAAATGTAGACACCAAAGGCTGTAGCTGCTGGAATATTGCTCGACATGAAGGGAAATTTGACTATTGGAAAGTTGAAGTCATCCCCTTGTCATACAGCCTTGTGGATAGATCTTTTTCATTCAGAATCGTTATGCATAGATCAAAATATGAAACAGATTAGTTGATTAATGCTTTGAATGTGTCCAAATAACACTATGGTCCAACACTAAATACCATCCTAAAATTTCAGCTTCTTGTATAGGCTTATACTGAAGAGAACATTCTTCAGGATGACAGATTGAGAGTGTATGGACAACGCTCCATGCCATATATTTAAGCTCACTTGGTCGTGGTGAACTAAAATGGGGGCAGCCAAAAAATGCACCAAAACTTGCAACATAACCAAACATACAATCACAGTGTGATTTATTTTCTTGTGTATTATATGCACTTTATTTTAAAAAAATACAACCAGTAGAGGGGTGTAAATTATACGAACAAATTATATAATGTCATCATTATAAATGATATTAAAATTTCAGCTTCATTAGCACAGCAGAGTCACTGGATAAGATGTTTACAGAAGCGAGAAGGACTTTTGAAACTTCTTTTAAGTACATGATAAGCCCCACTGCCAAATACACACACACAAAAAAACATTACATTTTGAAAAACGAAATGGCCATTGATGAGTTTTAGAATATCAATGGGTTTTTCAATAAGGCATTCAAGGCATTCGTATTCAAACCATTTGAACAAATTCATCATTGCTGGGAACAAGTATGTGAAGTTTCATGGCATTGTTTGTTTCGGCACGTGGCATTGTGTCTTGCATCAAAATTTTACAAATAATGAATATAGAATACTAAGCGAGCTCCTGTGTAATACCAATGTTGTGAAACAAGTGAATAGCTCTGGTATCTGACTCACTTTCGCTCGTCAGATACAAGAACTATTCACTTGTTTCACAACATTGGTATTACACTGGAGCTCGCTTAGTATTCTATATAAGATAGCTACATGATAAATTGCAAAGAACAATGAAGAATGAAGCGTGGGAGAGATAAGACAATTGGTTTGGGAAGAAAAGGTATAGATAACGGACATGAAAATTGTGAGAATATCCGGGAAGTACCAAACTTAACACCCCTGTTCATAAAACACACTTGTCCGACATTGCCTTGGTCAGATTGTATTCAGGCAGTCATCATTATTTGGATATGGGTAAATATTTGTAAAGCTTGTAAATTATATTTTAACATCCTTAAAGATGCTGTACAAAATGTTGGTATCTCATATAAGAAATATACGACTCATGGTCGTTATTTATTGTACAAAATAAGATATCTAACTGATAAATCGCAACGAACAAAGTGTTGTTTATTTCACAATAAAAAATTGTTTTATCATGACATCATTTTTTTAAATTTGAACATGCGCTTGCAACTTGATGACGTCGTTAATTGGACGACATTATTTTTAAGTCACACATAACGGTTGGAGACATGGCAGAGTCTAGCAGATTGCAGAAGTTGGATATATAGGAGATAAACCTACTGTGTTTTGAAATTGGATGTAGTCCTACTGTAGAGTAGATACCTCTTATTTTAATTTGGAACCAAGCGTTTTTCTACTATATATTTTGCATGTGCCAGTTTTATTAGTTAGTTTGCAATTACCCACAGTAAATAATACAAATTAAAGAAAACGCCACCCTGAACTTGACCTACATCACAGTTACTGGTACTCACACTTCAAAACTGTCCAAATCTTTACATTTTCTATGCTTCAGTAGACAGGTTACGAAGCAAGATGACAACCCCCATCTATGATGTGGTTCAACATTAACCTGTAGATTCACTGGGAATGAGCCTACTGGTACAATGTGATTACCAAAGGAACTGGAGTATGACTGAACAGCCGATTTTTAGGCTGCAGGCAAGCTGGCTATTTTGACAAGAGGAATCTGCATGATTTGACCTGTCAATTTGAAGTTTTCACCAAATCAATGCAAGCGTGTGAAAGAAAATTATTGTGCTCAGAAATATGTTTTCTTAATTTTGTGTGTTCTGAAATGAATCTCATCAAGTTTGATAAGTTGCTATGATCAAGTTAGCTTTGACTTCAGTGATGTCGGGACAATGTTTTTGCCTTTCGAAGGGAGCTAGAGAATCTAGGAGTGTTTTCTGATGGCCTTTTAAATCCTCTCCTGCCAAATCCTTACCATAGTGGTGGACAGAGATGGCAATGAATATCACAAAAAGGTTTGTAAACAATATGTTGTCATGAATAAAGGGTCTTCAAACAAGTTTAATAATGTTTTATTTTACTGTCATTATCGGTTGTTTCAATGAGTAAATAGCCTCTTCCCATTCTTGTCATCATAAAATGTCCCTAACAGTAACATAAACATCTCATTTGTATGGAAAAGATATGCTTTTGTTAAATCTCTTGTAATGTCATCAACGTAGTAGTCAGGGTTGTCACCTTGAACACCAAAAACATCCGATATCAAATTTCTTCTATTAGAAACTTGGCCATCAATTCATTTTGCGAGAGCCCTTGACTTGACGTGTATTAGAGACATGGCTTGTATTTGAGACCCAGCGAGTAATAGAGGAAATATAGATACGTTTTACAATACATATGGGGGTGATCGATCGGCAGCCATTTTTATGAATCGATATATAGGCCCTTATGGTCCCTGCTGGAATGCCATACTCGTGGCTCACACTGTCCTGTGAAGCACCAACTCTTTCTTTACTACATCTAACTTTTCTACCACAGTGTATGCTTTCCTCATGTTGAAATTGGAATGAACACGACATGATAAATTGCCCTAAAATACAGGAATTTATGTGAAGCCAAATTAATTATTGGTTTGGTACGGCTATTTGATCCGAATCAAAAGGGAATGCCAGCCATTATGTGACGACAACACACTGTGTGTGTACATTTTCAACATGTGAGTTGACAGTGTCGCCTCAAATTGAATTAGCACTAATTAAGAACATGAGCTCAGCTTGTGGTTCACGTTTATTGCATGATGGTCAGGTGAATAAATGCTATGAAGCAGAGAACATGTATATATATGTATGTACCTGTAAGAACAACAAAAGTAATAAGATAGCAAAAGGTTGAAACTTAACCAGGAAATAGTTAATTGGTGCTGATAGGTGATAGCAACAACTGGAAGTCAGGACTTAAATAATCACTAATTGGTAATTGGCATTGGACAATGGGCAAACAGAATGCAAGGGGGTAATTAGCACTGATAGGGATATAATAGCAATGGACAAATGGAAGCCAGCTGCATAATAAACAATAATCAAAGCAATAAATCCAAAGAACTAGCTGGGCAGATAGGTTCCCTAGTCACATTTCATGGCTGGCTGGTCTCCCTGATGTCAATGGCCCTTGTATTTTTCTTCGTCGCCAGTTGTTGTTGATAGAAAGGTCTTACAACATGATGTTATGGTCTTGGTCCTTGAGGATGTGTTTGGATATAGCAGATTTCAGGTCTAGCTTTTTGACAGATGTCTCATGTGTGGTAGATAGTAGTTCTGTATATATTAATCATGTTTTATTAATTAGCTTATAATTTACTATGTATGTTGTCAATAATGGTATTTTGTATATTTCAGATATTGCAGTAATCAAGAATTATTTATTGTATTTCTCATTTCAGGCTGCATACTTAAGTAGTTGTAAGTCAAGTATTATCATTAAAGCCCTATTCTAATGTCATGTTTTACTTAGTGGGTCAGTCAACTGCTTGGTGGTCAATCAGAGTGTAAGCCCAGGCGTCCTCTGGATTGGCTATAGTTTTAAATCTCTGTGTCCCACTTTCAAACCCCTTTGTTTTCACCCTGCACTTGGCATTAATACTTCACTGTGCACTGGACTGGAAGAAAGGATATACTTATATAAAGGTTAGTAGTTAAAGTTATAATTGTATTTTATGCCAGTATAATTATGCAAATCACTTTAGTTTAATTAATGTCTATATAGATCCTTAATTATATTTAAACATGTCACATTTACTAGTATTAGTGTGTGCATGGTGAGTGTATGTATACTAGATATATTTCATTTCACTATATGTGTGTCTGTGTTAATCTAGGACATTTGTGTATTCTGTAACTTGAATTGTGTATTAATAATTTGATAATAGTTTACATGTAATGTTCATGTGTGTAGATAAAAATACCTTCATGATGTATTTTATATCATGAACAGGTTTTCACGAGAGATTTGATATATTTACAAGGGATTGTGACCACCCAAATACACCCCAGTGGGATTCACCGGGTATATATATATATACTTATATATTGCTTGCATTGTAACATAATATTATATTTATTGTACAATATTTATATTAAATGTGTAAATCCATTAAACTTACATATCTAAGCTTATAATTGTGAAATGTTATAAATGATATATCATGTATAGCTTATAAGTGTAGTAGATTATTAATTAATCTGCTTCAGTTTTGATGTACTAGATATAATTGTATGTTTATTATTGTATTCATTGTTCCAGGGTGTCGGTTTATCACAACAGAAAATAAATTAATCAGACCTCACACCCTAGCCTGTGTCATTATGTTATTTGGGATAATACATATGCACATATAATGGCTACAACACATGTTCTTTGAGTCTGGTGTTAAGGGGTCTGAGGGTTTCTCCAATGTATTGGTGGCCACAGTTGCAGGGGATCTGGTATATACATCCTCCTGGGTTGTGGCCTGACTTGTGCCTCTGCCATTGGCTTGTAGATGAGTCTTGATGGACTTGTCGCTAGAAATGGTGACATCTATGTTGGCTTTGTTCTGGATGAGGTGGGAAATCTGATAAGTGCCAGGGCCTTGGTCAGGTATGGTGTTGCTGATGGGCGATGGTGCAGTTTTGGGTCTGGGATCAGAGTTCATGAGGGTTGTCTATTGCTGTCACCTATCACATTGTGTGGGATATCAGTCGCTGTTTCACCTTCAGACCACTTGTCACGCAATTTAGGCAAGGGCACAATGTTTTTGTCAGATAATACTTCCCCGATTGAGGACTGAAATCACCTTTAGGGAAGCATTTGGCAATGCACTGTGCTGTCAGTTTACTGTATATCTAACTCTGCAAGGATGAATGTATAACAGTATTGCAATACTCAAAGTTAAATTTACTTTACACTCTTAGTTTCAACCCTTAGGCTTATATAAGGAACTTCTAAGAAGAAGAATATGTTTAATGCCACACAAATTTTCCAATTGTTTCAGAAAAAAAACCCATTAAAATTACCAAAAGATATGATGTCTTCATAAGGAGAAACATACATGGCAATTTTCAGCTTCCTGAGTCTGGCAATTGCAGAAAAGATGTTGACAGAGCCAAATGTGCATTTTGATATTCTGACATGCATTCTGAGAAGTGGACAGGATTTTCAATATAGCTGCATGTGAACAAATTCAACAAGTATGTGAAGCTTCAGCTTCATTTGTCCAATGGTCTCTGAGGAGACAATGTTTTCAGGAGCTAAAGTGCATTTTGAGAGACAATTAAGAGCATAGTGAAAATGCAAAGGTCAAATTTATGGCAGGCTCTAAAATATCTCCAAAACAAAGGAACATGTTTTGATGTCCACTACTACCTAAACAACCATGATGAAGTTTCACCTTCATTCATCCAGTGGTTTCTTAGAAGATGTATATGGTACTCTGGACGCTGACCAAACAGGCCATGACATAAGTTACCTTAAGCTAAAAATGCTTTTTGAATCAATTAGTATCTTAAACCAAAGTGAATGAAGTCATACATCTTGAAAAATGCACTTACCTTGTGTTTTCTTTACCACCTTGGTCTGCTTTCTGAAATAAATTAATAAAACCTGAATTTCATTCAAGAATTAACTTGTACCGGTACTTTGTGTTTATTGAAGTATGAACCATCTTCATGTTCATAGACATTCATGCAATGTTTGACCCTCATAGTCCAATGAACTCACATAACGTGAAAGTCAATTAGTTTCATTTTCATTTTCATTTTTCAATGTTTATATATTAGTATCTTGAAGAATATTTACATAATTTCAATTTTCATGCATTTTACAGACTGGTTTTTCATGTTGAGCAGTGCTTAAACGGGGTATTTAACATAACACAGCATGGCCACATCTGTTCTCTGGGGACCATACAATTTATGAATAATTTAGGGACTGAAATGGAGAAATGTCAAGCAAATTTGTTATATGATCAAAGAAAAAGGGTGCTTGTAAAGATAAGGTTGTCTGACTTGCCCAGAGGTCATTCACCTTCAACACTACAGTAAATGGATGAAAAATAAATTTTAAGAATAGTGCCACTGCAGCTCACCTGGATATGTAGTCAACACTTAAAATGTCAACAAAGACAGTAACTTCACACAAGTGCCTGTCAGCAATTATACCCTGGTAATAAAATACTATGGGTTTTGCATAAATATCAAACTCAAATAATTTGAAGAAAATATGATGTCATCTTAAGGAGAAATATACATGCCAATGTTCAACTTTTTCAGTCAGGCAAATATGCATTTGAGAGAATTTGAGAGCAAAGTCAAAACAAGGTCAAACTTTAAGCTATCATAAAAATATGGAACTAATGACAATGAGTGGAATCCCACTACTACATGAACATATACCAAATTTCATTACAGTTTGAACAAAAAGGCTGAGTTATGGCTAGAAATAGGTTTATCACATAAAGCTGTCATGGCTGCCATAAAGAAAAAAATAAAATATTTTGAACAAATTAATTGGGACAACAGACTTAGGCTAAAACATGTAAAGGGGAAGTGTACACACAAAAATCACATTTTTCTGATATGAAACAAAACAGAATTTTAGAATTAATTGATATCAATGTTTGAAATCATACTAATTTTTCTCACATTGAAAGTAGGAAGCTCTGGAAATGTAATATGCTGTATGCTGGAGTGTACAGAAACAATTCTAGATCAAACTACACATGACTGACTAAATGTTAAACACCACAGTCAGCAATATTCCAGCTATATTCCAGCGATGAATGTCATGCATTTTACATGCAATTAACCAAGTCTCCATGGCTGATCCATCAAGATCAGGACCTGTTGTAACCTGGGACCATACATTGGCCTAGTGGTTCTGAACATGGGGCATATGGACTTTTTTAAAAATTATTCAGGGATCAATAAAATGCAAATACATTGTATACAAACCCCTTTTTGTTTAGCAGCATCAGAATAGGACATTTTGTTTCCATCTGGATTGTCATGATTACTGTCTTCTTTGGCTCTGGCCATCTGACGAGTGGTAACCCCAGGATTAGTTTGTTCTCTTGGAGGTGGTGTCATCTGTGAGGTGGTGTCACCTGGTGGAAAACTTTGGGAGTCTCCCACACAAGACTTGCCTGCTGCCCCTGAAGGAAGGTTGCCACCCTCCATTCTTTGTTGTATGGCTTGACCATCTTGATTGGTGGAAAGGTTATTTGTCTTAGTAGCTTGGTCATCAGCTGTGGTTTTATTTTGCAAATGATCTCTTGGTCGTTCATTTTCATGTTCAGGTAATGGGATTGCAAGGGGATCAGTTTGGATTGGGCCAGTTTCCATACCTGTGTTCAAAAGTGGACTACTTTCTTTCATGGTTGATGCATTAGATGAATCCAACATTCTAGGCAAGTTTTCAGGATCAGTAGTTCCTTTATCACTTTCATCTGTACTGTCAAAATTTTCAAATTCTGTGTTAGCTTTTTTGTGAGTTCCAGTTTTACCTCTACTCTTTTTTTTCTTTTTCTTTTTCTTATGCTTTTTCTTCACGTCATCCTCTTTAACATTTGTAGTCTTTGCATTATCATTTGCATCTTGGCATGGTGCATTTGTATCAAGCCGTGTTTGTTCAGTTTCCTGGCCTGAAAGAATAGAGATACACTTAGAAGCTATCATTAAGACATACCAAATATTTCCATATATAAAACAAGAAATACACTACGACCCCTAATAACCTCCAGTCAATACCATTCAGTTTCTGGCAATTACTTTCAATATTAACTGTTTAATTTACTCTGCTCAAAATCTAAACATGCTTATCCAACAAGCAAACACATGCTAATGGCTGTAAAAACAAAGGCAATTGACTGTCACCAGTTAGATCACATGGATGGGTATAAGAGTGGGAAGTGGGGTGGTTGGTGTTAGAAGTCATGTTTGGTAACTTTCATTTCATTTTGTTTCAATGTAGAAAATACAGAAAAGTTCAGTTTGATACAAAATATGTTGATTTAGCTTCTTATTACAGTAAAGTCTTACTTAATGAACATACATGAAAATTGTTTGAAGTTTAAATAATCTAACAAATAGCTTTAAATCTGTTCCGTTGCTCTCCTCGGATAACTAACTGCCTTTGATTTGGGTAAGACAAATCTTTTCAAAGAAACCTATTGCATATTATTAAAGTAAAATGTATCTTTCTATGCTCTGAACTATGAAGATCAACAATAAATCATTGCTACAAACGCACTACTGACAACATAGATCTTTTAACCTTGTCATAAGCTGATCTCTAGTTAAATATCACTCAGAGATTGAGGTGCGGCAAATATTAAATTGAACTGTAAATTATTTTGATCATGGATATCAAATGGAAAAAAATGTCAAATTTATCATTTTAGTTTGTGCACAAACAATTAGTACCTTAGCCGCAGCTTCTTGCGCTTTATGTTTCCTACAACGTCGTATATTTTATTATAAACTGTCATCACTTGTACATCGTACTCCATTTTTCTGCTATGGATCAGGTTACACTTTACCTATCCCACAATTCAATTCTTTGTCGGCAACGCATGCGCAAACCCATGCTTCTGACGTCACTCACTAAAGCCTATTTAACCCTTCACTTACCATCCGCTCATTCTCGTTCCTATCAAAGCCATCTCGTTTATGCTTCTCCCACCATCCATCTCCTTCATACCACCTTGTGAGGCTGCCTTGGTTGCTCCATCAGGCAGGGCGTCTGTAGCCCCAAACTCATACCATATACCTCTCCCTAACTTAACACCCGGGGCCTCACGACCTCCAAGGGTACATCTCCACTAATACTGGGATCCTAGATCCCAGATTAATCCACAACAATACTCGGGTTGACGACCCACTAACAAGCTATCAACCCAGGATCCACGATCCTCGGGGTACTCTTTCTCTATTCTTATCACTCGGGTTTACGACCCACTAGCACCAGCAACCGAGGTAGCCCCCCTTTGTCGCCAATGTAAATAAATTATGATATTATATTCCATTGTTTGTTGTTGTTTGCTGCACAAACGATCTTTTGCTTTGATCTAATTAGTATTAGTAGTTGCTGTCACAGGCTGTCAATATTTTAGGACCTGGACAGCCAGAAAAAAGTTATGACAACTTGAATTTGTCATTAATATGACCACACATCTGAACCTCTTGATTCTAGTTATCAAAAACTTATTATATATGTGGCGATATACTGCCCCATAGTAAAGGTAAATCATGATCTCTACATGTGTTGATACTTGTAAACCTCCAGTGATGTCATCTAATTGTTCCCCAATCGTGTCAAATCTCAAATACAAGGATTTTATATAATATCCCTGTAATTTTACTTATACAACTTCCGTTGATATTGTAACATGTGAATGTCTCTCGCTAGAATGAGTGAATGAGTTGGGTTTTACGCTGCTTTTAACGGTATTCCAGTTATATCACGGCGTGTCAGCATAATGTAGAAAGAAAGCCCGAAGTGATGCAGGTCTCAGATGTTTACCACTTCAGTGAAACCCACGAGCACAGGTATGGGGCTGACAATCCTAGAAACATAATCGGGGCGAATCATAGGTTTCTGATGTGCCCAAGGGACACAACTCTGCATGGCGAATTTGGGAGCCTTAGATGACTGGGCCACCTGTGCCCCCCTCTCACTAGAGATTTATTTTGCATATGATAACAATGTACATAATGAAATGTGCACTATGATGTAAACTCAAATGACAAATGTTTCCTTTATATTCCCGGGGACAGACCTTGCAACCTTCGTATCTCTAGACCAGTGAGTAAACAACCAGGCTACAAGCCAATGATAACTCGCAATGCTTTTATGAGTCTCTTTTTCAAGTACCTGTACCCCAGCAAGAGATATTTTACACCCCTTTCCTCAGGTTTATTGAAGTATGTTTGAAACATAAGTTGTTGATAAATGTTGTTTCAAATTTCTTTTGTTGGTTTATAAGCAAGCGCCAATGTGAACACATCCAGTCTCTCTTGACACAAGTTTAATGCACAACAAACTACAATGCCCGAACCGGAAGGAACGGTTTTTACAAAAAATAGCCATCTGTGACAAAACGAAAACAGAAATGAAATCAATGAAATGGCGCAACCATCTTCTCATATTTTGAGGAGATACAAATAATGACTTATGAGTTTTGTTAAAGATGCACATTAGACATTAAGGGCACCAATGGTATGGGTGAGTCTTGTGAACCCAGTCAGTCCAAAATCCAATATCCAGATGTCTGCCAAGCAGGTGTTCTGCGAGGTCGGGATGACATCCTCAGAGGAACTTCAGTGACAGGCGAGGTATCATCACATTGCTCTGTAGGTTCATGTTCAACATGTTGTGGTCCATTATCATCAACCACAGTTTTATGTCCATCATTTTGAAATTGCTGGTTATTGTCAGTTGAGTTATTACCGGGTTCTAGCACAGATTCACCAGCTTGGCTAGGTAAAGGATGAATATCTTCACAACTAAGATATTTGTATCAATACCTCTAATTGGTCCTGAGGATGACATGGTAAGCATGGTAGGTTTTACATGGTAACAATCTGAAGTTTGAACAGTGTATAACTTGGAACGAAACTGTGATTTGGTGAACTTTCTAAGCTGACACTTATCCTCCAGTAACCATATACTTGTCCCTTACACCTGTCTTTTCTTTCTCTCTTTTGAGAAATACAAGATCACCAACTTGAAACTTAGTTTCAGACATGCTAGCGTTACCATGAGCTTTAGATTTGCTGCTATGTTGATGGTTAAATGTTCTGAAGATATTTTGTTCAAGAATGAGTTGCCTGTCTGTGATAGGTAGTTGTTCTCCAGTCAATTGATCATGTTGGGTAAATACTTCACGGGCAGACAGACCACCTTTACAGAGTCTTGAATTCATATTGGCTGTGGCAATTGCCAGGTTAACCCGAGACAACAGGCCACCCTCAGGGAATAGATGTAAGCATTCTGTGCCAAGTTCTTCAATGGCTTGTTCTGCCACTGGGTTTTTGTTAACATTCTTTGGCAAACCAATCTCAAGTTCAATACCATACTTCAGTAATGGATCCTTGTCGCGGGACATAAACCCTGGTGCAGGGTCAACCCTGATAGTGGTGCCACTATCACCAAGATGTCTCATGTCGACACAAAGCGATAGGATGGCATTGCGTAGATCGTCACATTCCTCACTCTCAATCAGGCATGTCATTGTGAAGAAAGACACAGTTTCCCGAAGAACAAACACAAGTTGACCATAGCGTTTCGTGACGCCCCTGCGAAGTTGACACCAATAGACGCAGGCCGAGGACTGCTTGACTGTGGATAGAATTGAGCAGGCAAGGATTTCAAAGACACACAGTGGTGACATGATGAATCCACAGCTTGACGAGATTTTTCTAAATCCAAGGCAAAAAAGTACCTGTTGAACAGTTTTTTAGTCTGATAAATGGGAGGGTGATTGAACCTGATGTGTAAGGCAGAAAGGAGACCATTTAGAACAGTCCTTGGAACAACAATACGTTCACGTACAGGATGAAATGGTGACTGACACGTACAATAAGCAAACCATCCGACACAATAGAGACTTCCTTCAGGTATCTCTTGACATCTGAGATATCTGTGTGTTTCTTGGATGGACGGGTTCCTTGAGAGAGGTGAGAATGAGTCCTTCTAAGATCTGAACAATCAAGTTGTGAAGCCTGCCAAGCTGCACGGCTGGTGAAAGGCACTCGAGCAGCACCATCCACAACATCTTTGACACACAAGTTTCTACATCGTCTTGAACAAATTTACACACCTGGCAACTGTGGTCAGAGCACTGGCTCGGGTGTCGACTACAATAGTCAGTTGGAACATTTGCTACACCAAATATGTGGCTCAGAGTAACATGGTAGCGACTGAGTCGATAAGAAAGTAGTGACCCTTGAACTTGCAGAAAATTCTCCCTTATTGTAAGCTAGCACACAAGGACGACTGTCAGTGAGTATTTGGGTTTTCTGAGTTGATGCTGTAATAAATGGAGCAAAATATTTTACCGCAGATCTGATGGCAAGCGCCTCCAACTCACAAGGAAGCCAGGTAATCTGGTGTGTCTTCAATTTGGCATTAAAAAAGCCAGCTAATAAGGATTTTCTTTTGCGGCATGTATACATTGTACCAGCCAAGCCATGAGCTTTTGACAATGCACAAACTGTCGCTACGTCTTGGAATAGTGATTGTCTTGTTATCTGATAAGGCAGACTTGGCCTCATTGTATGCATTTGTCAGGTCATCAGTCCAGGAGATCTTTTTTTTAGATTGTCTTCCTGCAGTGGCCTTATCCAATGGTTGGAGGAGATTGGCATAGCCATGAAGAACACGGCTGAAGAATGCACCTACAAATCGCAGACCCTGTACAGTCACAGGCGGTGACACAGCAGACAGTGCTGCTATTCGATGTGGGCTAGCTGATAATGTGCCATTTGACCAAATCCAACTGAGTATGGTTGTAGACTTTGGGCATATCACCATTTTAGGGTCTGAGAGCCTCAGATTGTTTGCTTTCAGGGCACACAAGACAATACGCCAATAAGACATGACCTCATCAGGAGTGTTTCCACCACAAAAAAGATCATCAGC